TCTTTGTATAATTTTTGGATTAGGCCTCTGTTTTCGCCCTTCCATTAGGCTATCTTTGCCTGGTATGTCGGTTTGTTCAGCCAAGTAGGAAGGATTTAATTTTGGTTCGCGGTGATACTAGGCTTTGCAATGGTTGTGTGCATGAAATTAATTAGTCTCTACTTTAATGCCACTTTTGTGCGAAGGGAAGCCCGAATGAATCGACTTCAAATGGATGCAACGAGGCTTTCCAGGCCGAAGAGATGAGAAGACAAGACCGTTCCCAGGAATCGCATTGAAGTTCTCAGCTAAAGAAGAGCTGCTTTATCTACCCGTCGGGGAGTCGGAATTACGGTATGAGATTTCAGGAGTAGTCAAGTTTGCTGTGTCAACACCTCTTTCAAATGCCATTTGTCTTGTTCAATCGCATTGATGCACCTCAGCCACCTACGGAGGAGATTCTGGCAAATTCGGGCCCAACGGGGACTCTTACAACTTGTCTGAAGTGGTAAATCAGTTTGAGGTTTCTAGACAGTATTCACTATTTTAGACAAGAATAAATCTCACCTGTCGAAGGGTTTCGATCAGGCCACCAACATTGCCTGATGCTCATAGCAAGAACATAAGGAATTAACTTATGCAAATAAAAGTTGGGTTTCGATAGATCTATTGGTTTTTGATTGTTCGGATCACTTCAGTTTCGAATGAGAGTGTGTGACAAAGTAATTCGAAGTTCGATCATACCACAAGATGGGAGCGGATTTCTTTCGGCCAGCTGTCGGTTGGTTTTACTGGAATATTCTTGGCTAGGCTGTCCCCGAATAAATCTCCTACTATTCAACTGAAAAAAGCATCATCAGAGGGTATGTTTCCTAAACCCATATTCTGGATATATATATGCCCTACATCTATTCATCATGATGGAGTATAAAGGGATTTTGCTATTTCAATTCATGAGCTGATCACGAGAAGTCCATCGTCGTCTTCTGTCGGGATCGAACTTCTAATCTCTTTGTCACTTCAATGGGAATTGGGTTTAACATGAATTAACTTGGTCTTGTTCTCATGTAGATCTCGAAAAATGCGACCTGCATTGCTGCCATGTATGCATACATTTTTAATTGTTTCACTGACTTATGATGGTTATGCTGACTGATGATACCGAGTATGATGCCGGTGAAATATCTATTAATGTACGCAATCAACGTCCAGATGCTGCAAGAAGACGTGACCATAAAGAGGTATGCTTCTCGAATTCTTCATCAGGACACGACTATGTTGTGAAAACGAGGCCAAGCCAAGTTTATGCATCTACTAGAGATTGCAAACACCACAAAGGCCATAGCCTCGTACCCTTCTTATCCACGGTTGTAAATCAATTCTGGATGCTTTTTCTATATTATGCATACGCTTTTTTTGCTTCAGTAGTTGCTCTTCACAGAGGGGAACTAAAGGAAAATAACTTTCGAAGGAGATATAATAAATTATCATGGGACATGCAGGCCAGGTTAGTTATATGCCGGTAGTTTTCAAATTTGATAGCCTTCTCAGATGGCACTTCATTTAAAGTTGGGTTTAGAGGTGGGGTTCATTGTCAACGCAAATGGGTTTATTAAACCAGGAGGATAGGTTCTTAGAAGATCAGGTGGCCCAAAATGTCTGCCCCATAAGCTGCTGTTCATTTTTATATTTTCATTTTGTATTTGAAGGAATACAATGGCCACTTTTATCCAGTGAGTGCCAAAACCAGCGAGAACCTGAGGGAAGCCTTTCTCACGCTAGCAAGGTGAGCAGTACTAATATATATATATATATATATTTCTCCTATTAATCCCTAAATATTAATTAGACATCGCCTTATAATTTTGGAACTGCGGTCTCAGTAATTTACCAGACAGCAAGAAGAAAGTTAAAGCGGAAAAAGAGAAGCTGTATTTCGAGTAATTGCTTGATAGATTGATATTGGCATAATTTTCAGTTCGTTTGAGGCGGATGTAAGAGATTCGTAAATTGGCCTCAACGTATAACGAAGGAGAGTTGCTTTGGATTTGTGACTGATGAGTTTTGCGAAGAAGACCTCAGCTCACTGTCCTGCAACCACGATAACTCCGTGTTGAGCTTTAGTCCATCATGTGACGGACATCGTCAGATCCAGAAACCATTTTTTACGTACACTCTCTAAAACTCACCAAACTAAGAAATGTGGCGGGTTGAGATTCTACTTACTTCTTATACCTCACTTTGCTATCTTGATGAGACAACAGATGATTTGTTTGGCTAATTTGTACTTGTTCTACATTCAAGTGTACGAGTGAATTTGAGGCAGGAAGGGGGTGTATGTGATCACAATTTTTATTTTTGTAAATAAATTAGCTTATGATCCCGTATTACTCAAGCTTGTTCTAGTTTCTTGGAGGCGTGTGCGTTGTGTGTAGTAAATAATCAACAGTTATTTGACTCCAGGTTAGTCAAGTCTTCTCGTCTTACTCGGTGGCTCTCCCTGTTCCCTTTATTTCTATATATCTCTCCCTTTAGTGATATCCAGCAACCAGAAATAGTTCTCGTTGCATGATTTTCCATTTCGAGGGAAAAGTTGGTTTGAAGGAATTCTTGATCGCATCGCAAACCGAAGGAGGATTTTAATGAGGCATCTCATGATTTGGTTGGCCATCTTAAACTTACTCTACATGCCCGCAAAAATAAACTAGCGAAAAATCCTCTAATGTTGAATGATGTCTGGGTATGTGCTATTGTCTGTTGTTCGTATGTAATGTTCATTTCATGTGAAGTGTGATAATCCTAGGTGGACTCGAGGCTAATCCAGCCCCCTTCTCTTGTTCAGTGGCTCTTGCTACACTTTCTCTCTTCCTCTGCCTAGGCCTATCCAAAGGCCACAAATAGTTCATACTTAGTTTTCCACATTCATTCCTCCTATTCAGGACGTTGACCGTTTTGCTAATTTCTATAGACTCCCCAATCTTAGGCTTTGATCCCCATTACCTTAAAAATGTTGTGTTTAAGACCAGTATATTGAGTGTCCTGCACTGATCATGTGTTCCGCGAGCTTTACAGGCAGCATTGTGTCCACAAAGTAGCTTCTGGATGGGTTTGCATAGATCTCCACATATACAACAGGAACACAAAACCTTGTGTTCTAGAAAGAGGGTCTCTCTACACATAGAAAGTTCGGAGGAAAGTTAATACATTGTTTTTATGTTCCAATTCCTCAGTAAATCACCCAACTTTTTCGCAAGCTAACAAGAAGGCAAACTCATGAAGGGAGTTGAATGGTCCACTTGTCTATCCTGCCTCATATAGCAAACTCTCCTCATCTTGAAGATATGTAGACCAAGATGTTGTGGCCTCTGGTATGGTCACAGTCTCCTTTCGATTTAGAGAAGGGAGTTGACCTCATTGTCGCAATTTGGTCTTGTTGTCAGGGTGACTGGCAAAAATCACTGATGATGCTGACTATGATGTCGGCGAAACGTTTGAGAATGTACCAAGTCCACTGTCTGATGCTGGGAATCATGACAACTACTATCGCAGACGAATTCGGACTAGGCGAGTTCTACTAAGTCGCTCTGACAACAAGACCAAGTTGCGACAACGAGGTCAACCGACTTCTCCTCATCTTGTTTCTAACAGTTCAAATGCAATTGCCTACTAATCCTAATGGGTAATTGTTTTGAAACAATATATACCTCATCTACCGACCTCCTAACTCTATAAATTCGTAAGAGTTTCTTACCGAAAAATTCCAAGCTTCGGAGATTTGCTTGAACTTAATACATATAAATCATGATATTTAATGCATCACGCTACCTTTATTATTTACAATAATTCTAAAAGGGGTACCTTGCTTATGAATTTTGGACGGACCATATGCGTTTGGGGATCAAGAATCTCGCTGGAGAAGTGCGTTCATTTCCTAATTTTCCAATTTTCTGCTGTTTACACATTGTTGCAGAATACCCCTCTCTTTCTAATTATATTCAGCACCCAGAGATATTTCTTACTTAGTTTCCTACATTCATTCATCTTGTTCAAGAATTTCTTTGCCTTGTTGACCTCAATCGATTCCCAGATCTTCCATTTTCCTCATATACGGCAAAATGTTGGGTTTTAGACTACTCAATCTAGTGTCTTGTAGTGTTCATGTGCTTAGCCATCTCCAATTTTGGAATCCATAAAACTTTACAGGCAGCTTTGTGCTCTTATGGGTCGACAAGTCTCCAACACATTAACACTACAACATGAGCACAGAAACTTATAACAATCTGATCTGCAGAGGGAGTCTGAAGATTCTCTAAAAAAAGGCATGATCGAAGAAAGCGTTAATATTTATTTATACATTGTCCTGATATTCCATTTCCTTAGTAAATCGCCTTTCTTGAAAGCTTGCAGAATGCCAGAGTTAGAAACCTGGATGAAGAATTGTCTAATTTTCTCTTTTGTCGCAAATAATGGTATACTCTCACCGTATTTCTTAGTATTTTGAAATTGCTAAGGGGACCTTTATTTCGTATGAAAGTGCATGAAGAAGAGATTTGTTGGTCGATCTCACCAGATGAGTATGGATGAAACTCGTTGTACTGCAGCCGGCTGGATTTTATACGACGCAGAACACGGGACTTCCTCCCTTGTT